TCGGGGGCAGAGCATCTCCAATTGTCCAGCACTTCCGGGTTCCAGATGGTGCCAGACCATCAGGAGTGCCGGACCATTGGATGCCGGATCAATGGAGTTTTACTGTTAATAGGTTAAAAAATTAACAATATAGACTTACAATTAGAATAATAGGGTTGGAAGAAATCGCAAGAGGTTATTGAGTCCAGCCCCCTGCCCAAATCAGGACCAACCCCAACTAAATCATCCCAGCCAGGGCTTTGTCAAGCCGAGACTTTAAAACTTCTAGGGAAATTCTACCACCTCCTTAGGTAACCCATTCCAGTGTTTCTCCATCCTCCTAGTGAAATTATTTTTTCTTAATATCCAACCTAGACCTCCCCCACTGTAACTTGAGACCATTGCTCCTAGTTCTGCCATCTGTCACCACTGAGAACAGCCTCTCTCCAGCCTCTTTGGAACCCCCCTTCAGGAAGTTGAAGGCTGCTATCAAATGCCCCCTCACTCTTCTCTTCTGTAGACTAAATAAATCCAAATCCCTCAGCCTCTCCTTGTAAGTAATGTGCTCCAGTGCCCAAATAATTTTGGTTGGCTTCCGCTGCACTTTCTCCAATGCACCCACATCCGTTCTGTAATGGGGGGGAATGGAGGACCAGAACTGGATGCAATACTCCAGATGTGCCCTTACCAGAGCTGAATAAAGGGGAATAATCACTTCTCTAGATCTGCTGGAAATGCTCCTGTTAATACACCCTACTATGCCATTAGCCTTCTTGGCTATAAGGGCACACAGTTGATTCACAGCCAGCTTCTCATCCGCTATAATCCCCAGGTCCTTTTCTGCCAAATTGCTGCTAAACCAGTCGGTCCTCGGCCTGTAATTAAGTGTTTACTGCTCTTTAGAAGTGCCTGACTTGTCTGCATCTTGCTTCCTCCACAGTGTGATGTTTCTTCTGGTCTGTATTTGTCACATGAACCAATTTTTTGAAGGAGCTGCTTGTTTTTCAGCAACTTGTCATAAAATGCAGCACAGTCTAGGGCAAAATTCACTCACACAGACAAAATAGCCTTCATGGTAGAAACACCAAGATATGATTTTTCAGGTGACCAAACTGCATTAATTGCTGAAAAGACATGTTCAACAGAGGTTGCGGCACCTGGCAAACACTGCCTTTGCCAGATCTGAGTATTCTGCTGTCTTACTGTCCATCTGTTGAAAAATGTTCCACCACCTTCCAGAAATGAGGGTTTTCTGAGTGTTCCAGTCAGACATGTGACAAGATTTTATTGGTTTTGCAGTTGTCTGACTATTAATCAAAAAGACAATTCTCATTTATCAAATGTAGGGTGGGAATTCTTGTGTGGCAAAGGCAAGACTGCTTTGTACACCATCCCACACTAGCATGTTTCTCAAGAGGGCCCACCCAAGCTTTTCCGAGCACTTAACAGCAGGTTTCTAGTGCTCCACATACTTCAGAGATGTTGAATACAAATTCTCATCAACAGCATTGTAAAATTCCTGTTCCTTAATTCCCTTCCCCCTGCCACCACCAAAGACTTCAGTGGGGTCCTTGTGTGTGATGTGACAAATCTTTCTCTGAGCCTCATGCTAAATAATTTTGCAGGGTACAAATATCCAGTGCAACTTCCTGTCACCAATGAGTCGTTTTTCTCAACTGCCTCTACTATCTTTGGAAGGGTGGCTTTTTGCTTATTAGCAAAAGCAATCCACAGTTCTGTGCAAGGGTTACTGAACACTTTCTTAAACAGTGTTGGGCATGCGTCTTGAGAGAGAAAATATAACTGGTGCCCATCAAAAAAAGCTCCTTTGCTCTAGCAATTTAAAATACTCCAGTTGACAGATCAGCAGAAGTCCTTCTATTCTTCAACATGAACAGTGTAAATGTGAAATTATTTACAAACTTTCATGGCAAAGGACTCCAAAACAATTAGAAGGCAGTCAGCTGCTGCTTGCAGGCAGTTATAAATGATGTGAGCACCAAAGCTAAAGATCTCTTCCTCTCATTTGAGTTGCAGTTTTTGTCATGCACTGTTTTTCCCAGCACGTTTTACCACCACCGCTTGTACTGGCATTGTCTATACAAAGCCCAACAAGCTTGTCACTAAGGGTACATCTAGACTACAGGCTTTTGTCGACAGATACTGTCGACAAAGCTTCTGTTGACAAAGAGCGTCTAGACAACATTCAGTTCTGTCGACAAAGCAAGCTGCTTTGTCGACAAGGCAGTGTAGATGCAAAGGACAGTTTAGATGCAATAACGCCTTCTATCGACAGAACTCTGTCGACAAAAGGCGTTATTCCTCGTAAAATGAGGTTTACCAGCGTCGACAAAACTGCTGAGTTCTGGCGACGTTATGTTGACAGAACTCAGCAGCAGTGTAGACACAGGTTTAGTTTTGTCGACAAAAGTCCACTGTTGTCGACAAAACCCTGTAGTCTAGACACACCCAAAGAAAATGCTTCTCAATTAATATAGAAATCTGCACTCGGTATCAGAAGTTTCACACGGTAGAGAATAAAACTCAATAACGTTTGTGTTTACCCCATCAGAGGGAGCAGCTAGGGACTCTGTACAGCTAAGGGGCAGAGAGGGATAGCCAGGGGCTGTGTGCAGACAGGAGGATACCTCAGGATTCAGAGAAGGGGTATCTAGAGACTGTGTGCCAGGACGACTTTGTGGTCCCCTAGTTTCTTAGGGCTCTGCCAGCCACGGAGCTGGGTCCCTCACCCCTGCCGGTTTTACTGGCTGTGTGAGCAAAGGGGGCTGGGAGCTATGGGGCAGCTTCTCTCCTCTCCTGCTGGACAGGGGGTTGGACACCACTGCTGCCTGTGCTATGACACCAGCCAGGGAGCAGCTGCCCATGATCTGGGCTCTTGCCTCTGACCTGGCATGGGGCAGGGAGAGAGAGAGCTGTGGAACTGTCTCTGGCACTGCTCTGCATGTGCTAGAGGGCCCCATAACTTTGCCCATGCGCTCTGGAGCCTTCTCCCTCATAGGGAGCACTAGGCATGGAGGACTCAGCTCTGCCGCTCCTAGTTTGAGCTCCAACACTCATGGCTTGAAGGATGGGAGGGGACAGGGATTGGGGAGTGTGGATGCTGAGGATTCAGGGGGCACCCCAGATCAGGGCTTCAGCCTGAAGGGTACTGGGAATTCAGACCAGTTGCAGACCAGGGCATGAAATTCAGTGTGGGGGAGGGGGATGGCAGCCTCCTCCCCGCTGCTTTATGGTGCACATAGGGAGCAGTGACACACACCCTTCACCCCCACACACCATTACCCTGTATCACACACAGGCTGCATCTCTTCCTACCCGACTCCTGCCTTTTCGTCTCTGCACCCTGCCTGAGAGCACCACCTGCTGGCTACTGCCTGCCGCATTCACCTGCCAGCCACAAACAGGAGGCTGCTGTGGCTGCCTGACACCAACTGACCAGCAGGGAGAGCACCACAGCGGAAAACACGGGACAATCCCCTCCCCCCCCCTTTTTTTTTTT